GAGCATTTACGGGGCGCCACTTCTTGAATATGGGGCAATGGTGCCTCCAAACCCCATAGCCACTGGGCTTTGACAAGATTTGACACTGGGCATTTTGACACCTGCCGTTTTGGTCACTTTGGGCTGAATGACAAGCAAATACATCTCTGTATTTCTTATAAAAGGTTTCAATGTTGGCCATATTAATATTGTCCAAGCTCAAACGAGGCACAACAGGTGTAGTGATACATGATTCTACCATATTGGAACTCATATGACTTATCATGATGCTTGCACTCACTCATTTCAACAACATGCAGAAAACCGCACGTTTAAAAAAGTAAACAAATTCATTTAAAAATATATAAAAAATATTTCAACCTGGAAACACATGTACACAGATTTGAACACTTACTGTTAGTATATATGCCAAGTCTCAAGTCCATTTCTTATAAAATACTGTAATAGAGATATAGCGAATCAAACACGTGCACCAGCTTCACCATATCAGGCCTCAGACCACAATTAATTTCCTTCTTTGCTATCTACAGTGACATGACAGCCCTCCATAATTATTATCGGTTGTAGGCCGTTCTCCTAGGCATGCTGACCAACCTGCCACTTGTCACTTAAAACGCAAAGTTTCGGTCGACATTTACCAGCTACCTTTCACAGTAACCACTGTCAACAATGCTCACCGGAGTGTTCCAGTCGAAACACACACAGCGGCCTTCAACTTGGGGTCTAGTCATGGGAGGCTGGAATCAATACATTCACAGATTGTGGCTAACAGAAAATTGTCAACATACCACAATGTCTAATCTTTCATTTAAGCTATCACAAGTCACTCCAAAAAATTGGCACAGGCTGAACAGCCCATCTAAACAGGGCACTATATTCTCCTATTTAAACAGGGCACTATATTCTCCTATTTTCCTTCCGGTTCATGTAAAACTTAGGGGGGATAACTGTGGTCTGAGGCCGTATTCTTCACCTGAAAATATTACAAAAGATTTTTACAGTTTGTCTTGTTGAATAGTTGAAATATGATTGCTTTTGAGTTATATGAATGTTATATTTGAACCTTGAATAATAAAAGTTCATATTTTGCAGCAGCAACACCCCAAAATATCATCTCGTTAACCTTGGTTACTGAAATATATCAGTTTACTATCGAATAGCATACACAGACAATGTGAATATATATGTTTTCAAACACAAGATGGCTCAGGTGACTGTGGGAAGTGGATTGACAGGTGTTGAATGTGTGGATTATCTCCCTTTGATTATTCTTCACCTGACATGAACATTTATATAAAAAATAACACCTTGATGACTTGTTTGGTTCTACAATTTTGTGTTTGAGATCTGGTTGAGTAGAACTATATGAATAAAAACATGCCACCCCTGATAGAAAGGGAGACTGTTTGTTAGTTTGTTTAATGCCGCACTCAGCAATATTCAAGCCATATGACAGTGATCTGTAAAAAATTGAGTCTGAGCCAGACAATCCAGTGACTGACATCAAGAGAATCGATCAGCACAGTTGGAATACAATGACACTCATCAACCAACACACAAACATATATATTTTGTTTGTTTCTTGTTAAACGCTGCATTCAGCAATATTCCAGCTTTATGACGGCGGTCTGTAAATAATCGAGTCTGGACCAGACAATCCAATGATTTATATCATGAGCATTGATCCAGGCAATTGGGATCAATGACATGCATCAACCAAGTCAGCGAGCCTGACCACCTGATCCTGTTGGTCGCCTCTTACAACAAGCATAGTCGCCTCTTACAACAAGCATAGTCGCCTCAAATTGACTATTGGTGTTAGCATGTCAAGTTGAGATCAAATAAGGTTTGGACTACCTGTGGGATGTGATTCGGACCAAGACCATTCATCCTTGGTGGGATCCCACCCAAGTTTCCCACTGGGGTCCAAACCAGATTTCCCACTGGGAATCCCACAGATATTTCCTCTAGAGGTATGACGAGCATAGTCACCTTCTTACGGCAAGCATGGGTTGCTGAAGGCCTATACCACTCCAGATCTTCACGGGTCACATTTATATATAAACAATGGTATATAATATGGCAAATTTTCATGGACAGAACATGTATCACATTCACAACTGAGCCAAATACTAACTAAATGTAATACTTGGATGCTACACTATTCTACGCTACGGGACCAGACTGGAAGGAAGTTAATCGCAGACATCAGTGCCAAGACGCTGGTGTGGTAGTTGAGGAAGCAGGACTTGGAGGGATTCACATAGAGAAGGACATTGCACTGCCAGCAACTGATTGATGATTTGGCCCACTTAAATGAATTGTCAGCCAACCTTGTGTATCTTTTCAGAAACCACCCACCTGGTCACTCCTGTTCCAACGATGTCACTGATCTTGTAAATATATCCTAATGGGACCTGTCTCAATCAATAGTATTGCACCTATCTTCAAGTAAATATATCATAATGGGACCTGTCTCAATCAATAGCATTGCGCCTATCTTCAGGTAAATATATCATAATGGGACCTGTCTCAATCAATAGCATTGCGCCTATCTTCAGGTAAATATATCATAATGGGACCTGTCTCAATCAATAGCATTGCGCCTATCTTCAGGTAAATATATCATAATGGGACCTGTCTCAATCAATAGCATTGCGCCTATCTTCAGGTAAATATATCATAATGGGACCTGTCTCAATCAATAGCATTGCGCCTATCTTCAAGTAAATATATCATAATGGGACCTGTCTCAATCAATAGCATTGCGCCTATCTTCAGGTAAATATATCATAATGGGACCTGTCTCAATCAATAGCATTGCGCCTATCTTCAAGTAAATATATCATAATGGGACCTGTCTCAATCAATAGCATTGCGCCTATCTTCAGGTAAATATATCATAATGGGACCTGTCTCAATCAATAGCATTGCGCCTATCTTCAGGTAAATATATCATAATGGGAACATGTTCATGCACAAATTCCTTGTGGTAACGCCCACATATGTAGTCTTTGTTCCATATAGAAAAATCCGGAGGAAAATATTCCGTGAAGCATTCAAAACCATTGTCATCGCCTTTAGAGTCGCCAAAGGTTTGCGAAATTCGCATTCGCCCTTTGGATTGAGTTCAAGCATATCAAAACCACCACCAATAAAATCATTGTCTGACATCTCATCGCTATCTGAATCATGACTCGCAGCCATTACACATACATGTTCAAAGTCAAATCGTAACACAAAGTTTACTTTCAGAAAAATCAGCGATCTAAAGACACCTTCTAGATAAACATCCCATTATACATAAAATCTTGTTTCTGGTAGTCAGATGACTTGTTATCGTGAGTATTGGATGACTAATTATTTGTTGTTTACTTGTATACACGCTGACTGGTAGACTGGCCTATGGTGTCATCTTGGCTGGTCAACTGGCCTACAGTGTTGAAAGAGTTAACACACCCTGTAATCTAAATCTACTCATGCTATGATGTATCTGGTCACTAAACAACAGAACCGCCTCCGTGGTCTAGTGGCTAGAGCAGGGTTTGATATGTAGCCGTGTCATACCAAGGCTATTAAAGAATGGTACTTGTTGTTACCCTGCCTGGCGCTAGGCAATAAGGGGCTAAAACAAGGACTGGTCCTCTTGGAGTGAGTGTACTGTGTTTGAGTTCCGTGTTCATGTTAAAGCGCGAAATGGTATCTCAGTGGGATACCACAATTGATTGGCATAAGTTCAGACTAGTACAAGTAGCCACACACACATCCATGCACATTGTCATATCAGAGCAATAATTTTGAACATGATGTTAACCCCCCTTTCACCTCACATCACTAAATAACAGTCTATTTGACCACTTGATCCATGTCCAGAGAATGACTTTGACCAAAAACAGTACAAACCACCCTTAAGACAACCTGTAATCTATATCTACCCATGCTATGATGTGTCTGATCACAGAAGAGAGTCTATTTGACCACTTGACCCATGTCCAGAGACACAAAAAAGCTTCGTTTCACATGGCATCTTTCTCAGACATTAGGTATGGCAGCAAGTCCGATGTCATAAATAATGAGCGTCCATAGTTTGTGATCACTGCCGTTAGCATATCTCCTCAAGGTACTTGTAATAAAAATTAGAATGTACCTTTGTTATCAAATTAGATTTCAAATGATTTATGCATAGCTGACAAGTAGTGGTATTTCTTCCTGAGCTATGTTGCAACCATATGTAGTCATGAAACCACCACATTGATTGATTGATTGATTGATTGATTGATTGATTGATTGATTGATTGATTGATTGATTGATTGATTGATTGATTGATTGATTGATTGATTGATTGATTGATTGATTGATTACACTCTAGTCGTTGTTGCCATGGCAAGCAAACTAGGGAGTCTTCTTCGACGCCTGCAGAAGAGTCGCTTTGTGCATAGGCTCACAGGGTGCCTCCATATATGTACACAGGACCTTAGCCAGATTCCACTTGGAAAATGTGCGCGTTGTTTTAATATTGTCCATTTGAAATTACATCATGAAGCCATTTTGGACTGGATAGGTACCGATTGAGAGCCCGTCATGTTTGAAGACTGATGCGAAAACTGATGGGTATCCCTCAATCGTATCATGTCTGAAGTTATTCTCCTGGCGATGGATGTAGCAAAAAATCTGCTACCATGGGATAATAGTTACTGCAATGTGTTCCCAACCACTTCCTCGAAGCCATTGTCCGAACTTGAGCCATCGGATGGCGGAGGAGGAAAGTCTCCCAAACCGTGCCACTTGGAGAAAACGGAAGCCTACACTTTCGCCATGCCAGTTTCCAAGTGTGTATGTGTAGATTGTGGAGGCTTCCATGTCTGATCGAGGTTGACGAAGGAGATTGCGACCTAGTGGAGCCGGAGAGGTGCTGTCATGAGAAGTAGAAACAGTCTGGGAACAAAGAGCTTTGGAAACACAATCCGTGTTGTCCACATTTCTCAGGACTCGGGCGTCGGTCCACCAGAGGCCCAGGGGAAAACTGTAAGCGAGCAACCCGCCCAACTCACTGACAGGGCGTCCATGTGGAGAGTTATGGATGCGGACATGGTACTGGACTGACATAGATGGGGAGCTGGTGGTTGAGACACATGGCAAACAAGTCAAGATGGGCAGTGTCCAAACTTGTCATTATCCACTTGAAAACTTGGGGATGAAGAGACTACTCCGTCGACACACTCTTGTTCTTCCGGGATAAACAGTCGACCCAAAGGTTTAATGTCTGGGGAATGGGGCTTGCTTCCAATGTAAAGCTGATCCAGGCTGTTCCCAACTAAGACATCCGACTTTGACAATCTGTGATCCAACAAATAAAAAAATAATGGTCAGGGTCAAGACAATAATTTCAAATATCCTCCTTAGGACAACACACCAAAGGGAGCTTACTCTTCCACCAATGTTGCAAATTACCTCCCCCTTGTCTACAGATGAGATGCTGTTGTTTGTTTGTCGCAGTCGCAGATACATGTATTCCAATTATTTGAGCAAACCCCTCAGCTCAAACATTGCAAACCTGTGAAGACTTTGAGGTAGCATACTTTGTACTCACAGACATATCAACCAGTTGTCTGGAACAACGCCACTCATAAACCTGGGAGAAAGTGGTGGATGTCAGGAGACTTGCTGGTACTGGACCCTTGGGAGAATCTGTCATCTGTGTGGATTGTCATCTGTGTGGATTGTCATCTGAGTGGATTGTCCTCTGTGTGGATTGTCATCAGAGTGGATTGTCCTCTGTGTGGATTGTCATCTGAGTGGATTGTCATCTGTGTGGATTGTCATCAGAGTGGATTGTCATCTGTGTGGATAGTCATCAGAGTGGATTGTCATCTGTGTGGATTGTCATCTGTGTGGATTGTCATCTGTGTGGATTGTCATCTGAGTGGATTGTCCTCTCTGTGGATTGTCATCTGTGTGGATTGTCATCAGAGTGGATTGTCCTCTGTGTGGATTGTCATCTGAGTGGATTGTCCTCTGAGTGGATTGTCCTCTGTGTGGATTGTCATCTGTGTGGATTGTCATCTGTGTGGATTGTCATCTGTGTGGATTGTCCTCTGTGTGGATTGTCATCTGTGTGGGTTGTCATCTGAGTGGATTGTCATCTGAGTGGATTGTCCTCTGTGTGGATTGTCATCTGTGTGGATTGTCATCAGAGTGGATTGTCCTCTGTGTGGATTGTCATCTGTGTGGGTTGTCATCTGAGTGGATTGTCATCTGAGTGGATTGTCATCTGTGTGGATTGTCATCTGTGTGGATTGTCATCAGAGTGGATTGTCATCTGTGTGGATTGTCCTCTGTGTGGATTGTCATCTGTGTGGATTGCCATCTGAGTGGATTGTCATCTGTGTGGATTTGTCATCTGTGTGGATTGTCATCTGAGTGGATTGTCCTCTGTGTGGATTGTCATCTGTTTGGATTGTCATCTGAGTGGATTGTCATCAGAGTGGATTGTCATCTGTGTGGATTGTCATCTGTGTGGATTGTCATCTGTGTGGATTGTCATCTGAGTGGATTGTCATCTGTGTGGATTGTCATCAGAGTGGATTGTCCTCTGTGTGGATTGTCATCTGAGTGGATTGTCATCTGTGTGGATTGTCATCAGAGTGGATTGTCATCTGTGTGGATAGTCATCAGAGTGGATTGTCCTCTGTGTGGATTGTCATCTGTGTGGATTGTCATCTGTGTGGATTGTCATCTGTGTGGATTGTCATCTGAGTGGATTGTCCTCTGTGTGGATTGTCATCTGTGTGGATTGTCATCAGAGTGGATTGTCCTCTGTGTGGATTGTCATCTGAGTGGATTGTCCTCTGAGTGGATTGTCCTCTGTGTGGATTGTCATCTGTGTGGATTGTCATCTGTGTGGATTGTCATCTGTGTGGGTTGTCATCTGAGTGGATTGTCATCTGAGTGGATTGTCCTCTGTGTGGATTGTCATCTGTGTGGATTGTCATCAGAGTGGATTGTCCTCTGTGTGGATTGTCATCTGTGTGGGTTGTCATCTGAGTGGATTGTCATCTGAGTGGATTGTCCTCTGAGTGGATTGTCCTCTGTGTGGATTGTCATCTGTGTGGATTGTCATCTGTGTGGATTGTCCTCTGTGTGGATTGTCCTCTGTGTGGATTGTCATCTGTGTGGATTGTCATCAGAGTGGATTGTCATCAGTGTGGATAGTCATCAGAGTGGATTGTCATCTGTGTGGATTGTCATCTGTGTGGATTGTCATCTGTGTGGATTGTCATCTGAGTGGATTGTCCTCCGTGTGGATTTGTCATCTGTGTGGATTGTCATCAGAGTGGATTGTCATCTGTGTGGATTGTCCTCTGTGTGGATTGTCATCTGTGTGGATTGCCATCTGAGTGGATTGTCATCTGTGTGGATTTGTCATCTGTGTGGATTGTCATCTGAGTGGATTGTCCTCTGTGTGGATTGTCCTCTGTGTGGATTGTCATCTGAGCGGATTGTCATCAGAGTGGATTGTCATCTGTGTGGATTGTCATCTGTGTGGATTGTCATCTGTGTGGATCGTCATCTGTGTGGATTGTCATCTGAGTGGATTGTCATCTGTGTGGATTGTCATCTGTGTGGATTGTCATCAGAGTGGATTGTCATCAGAGTGGATTGTCATCTGAGTGGATTGTCATCTGAGTGGATTGTCCTCTGTGTGGATTGTCATCTGTGTGGATTTGTCATCTGAGTGGATTGTCCTCTGTGTGGATTTGTCATCAGAGTGGATTGTCATCTGTGTGGATTGTCATCTGAGTGGATTGTCCTCTGTGTGGATTGTCATCTGTGTGGATTGTCATCTGTGTGGATTGTCATCTGAGTGGATTGTCATCTGTGTGGATTGTCCTCTGTGTGGATTGTCATCTGTGTGGATTGTCCTCTGTGTGGATTGTCATCTGTGTGGATTTGTCATCTGAGTGGACTGCCTCTGTGTGGATTTGTCATCAGAGTGGACTGTCATCTGTGTGGATTGTCATCTGTGTGGATTGTCATCTGTGTGGATTGTCCTCTGTGTGGATTGTCATCTGTGTGGATTTGTCATCTGAGTGGATTGTCCTCTGTGTGGATTTGTCATCAGAGTGGATTGTCATCTGTGTGGATTGTCATCTGAGTGGATTGTCCTCTGTGTGGATTGTCATCTGTGTGGATTGTCATCTGTGTGGATTGTCATCTGAGTGGATTGTCATCTGTGTGGATTGTCATCTGAGTAGATTGTCATCTGTGTGGATTGTCATCTGAGTGGATTGTCCTCTGTGTGGATTGTCATCAGAGTGGATTGTCATCTGTGTGGATTGTCATCTGAGTGGATTGTCATCTGTGTGGATTGTCATCAGAGTGGATTGTCATCAGAGTGGATTGTCATCTGTGTGGATTGTCATCTGAGTGAATTGTCATCTGTGTGGATTGTCATCAGTGTGGATTTGTCATCTGAGTGGATTGTCCTCTGTGTGGATTTGTCATCTGAGTGGATTGTCCTCTGTGTGGATTGTCCTCTGTGTGGATTGTCATCTGAGTGGATTGTCATCTGAGTGGATTGTCATCAGAGTGGATTGTCATCTGTGTGGATTGTCCTCTGTGTGGATTGTCATCTGAGTGGATTGTCATCTGAGTGGATTGTCATCTGTGTGGATTGTCCTCTGTGTGGATTGTCATCTGTGTGGATTGTCATCTGTGTGGATAGTCATCTGAGTGGAATGTCATCTGTGTGGATTGTCATCAGAGTGGATTGTCCTCTGTGTGGATTTGTCATCTGTGTGGATTGTCATCTGAGTGGATTGTCCTTTGTGTGGATTGTCATCTGTGTGGATTGTCATCTGAGTGGATTGTCATCTGAGTGGATTGTCATCTGAGTGGATTGTCATCTGTGTGGATTGTCCTCTGTGTGGATTGTCATCTGAGTGGATTGTCATCTGAGTGGATTGTCATCTGTGTGGATTGTCATCTGAGTGGATTGTCCTCTGTGTGGATTATCATCTGTGTGGATTGTCATCTGAGTGGATTGTCATCTGAGTGGATTGTCATCAGAGTGGATTGTCATCTGTGTGGATTGTCCTCTGTGTGGATTGTCATCTGTGTGGATTGTCATCAGAGTGGATTGTCATCAGAGTGGATTGTCATCTGTGTGGATTGTCATCTGAGTGGATTGTCATCTGTGTGGATTGTCATCTGTGTGGATTTGTCATCTGAGTGGATTGTCCTCTGTGTGGATTTGTCATCTGAGTGGATTGTCCTCTGTGTGGATTGTCCTCTGTGTGGATTGTCATCTGAGTGGATTGTCATCTGTGTGGATTGTCATCTGTGTGGATTTGTCATCTGAGTGGATTGTCCTCTGTGTGGATTTGTCATCTGAGTGGATTGTCCTCTGTGTGGATTGTCCTCTGTGTGGATTGTCATCTGAGTGGATTGTCATCTGAGTGGATTGTCATCAGAGTGGATTGTCATCTGTGTGGATTGTCCTCTGTGTGGATTGTCATCTGAGTGGATTGTCATCAGAGTGGATTGTCATCTGTGTGGATTGTCATCTGAGTGGATTGTCCTCTGTGTGGATTGTCATCTGTGTGGATTGTCATCTGAGTGGATTGTCATCTGAGTGGATTGTCATCTGAGTGGATTGTCATCTGAGTGGATTGTCATCAGAGTGGATTGTCATCTGTGTGGATTGTCCTCTGTGTGGATTGTCATCTGAGTGGATTGTCATCTGAGTGGATTGTCATCTGTGTGGATTGTCATCTGAGTGGATTGTCCTCTGTGTGGATTATCATCTGTGTGGATTGTCATCTGAGTGGATTGTCATCTGAGTGGATTGTCATCAGAGTGGATTGTCATCTGTGTGGATTGTCATCTGTGTGGATTGTCATCTGAGTGGATTGTCCTTTGTGTGGATTGTCATCTGTGTGGATTGTCATCTGTGTGGATTGTCATCTGAGTGGATTGTCATCTGTGTGGATTGTCATCTGTGTGGATTGTCATCTGTGTGGATTGTCATCTGAGTGGATTGTCATCTGTGTGGATTGTCATCTGTGTGGATTGTCATCAGAGTGGATTGTCCTCTGTGTGGATTTGTCATCTGTGTGGATTGTCATCTGAGTGGATTGTCATCTGAGTGGATTGTCATCTGTGTGGATTGTCATCTGTGTGGATTTGTCATCTGAGTGGATTGTCCTCTGTGTGGATTTGTCATCTGAGTGGATTGTCCTCTGTGTGGATTGTCCTCTGTGTGGATTGTCATCTGAGTGGATTGTCCTCTGTGTGGATTGTCATCTGTGTGGATAGTCATCTGTGTGGATTGTCAT